ATTTTTTTTTTCTGGTGCCAGGGATGGAACACAAGACTTTGTGCTTATGAGGCAGGCACAGTGCAACTGAGATAAATCCCAGCCCCAACGTACATCGTTTTTGTTTTGTTGGACAAAATACTTGTCACCAAAACATGTAGCACTACTTTGAGTTTACACATGAGTTACCTTATAAATTAGTCTCTGAAACTCTGAAATTCCTCCCAAGTACCTCTGCCAGCCCTCATGTCTGCTAATGGATTTTTTGAAATTTGGATTTGAATGTGCCTAAAGAGCTTTTGCTTCTTTTTCTCTACAGATCCACACTTGAACAAATCATTTTTCTTTGACTGCTGATCTCTTCTAAGGATTATTATGAGTCATGATGGCTTTCTACAATCTAAAAGTTGACAAGACAGAACATGGAACACTTTAAAAACAAAGAAACTTGAAAGTTATTTTTCTCTTTTATGTGGAATGCACTGTACTACTACATTATGAATACAGAAACTTACCTGAGCTCTCACAAATGCAAACGTAAGAAATTAGAAGTTTTGTGATCAACAACATATACACAGGAAAAGATGTCCATGTGAGTGATATATAAATGTCACAGTTCACATCTCATATGAAAAGGCTTTCATGTTGGATGAATATAATAAATACTTGGATTTGGAGCTACATCAGACCAAACCATATATGTGATCTCACTGTAATAAGTTTGATATCTTCCAATACTTGAGTTTATGAAAAATTAGATTGAGACCTCTTGTTTAACTTTGTACTTTACATAAGTATGGAGTAAATTCCAGTTATATCAACTTCATAGCATGCTAAGTATGAGCTTGTGGAAGGGTAGTGGCCTCTGCTATATCGCATAAGCCTCTGTACAGCTGGTTAAATAATAATCTAGGACAAACTAGGTCATTTTGAAATTAAGATGAATCCTTTTTTGTTGTTGTTTAAAAGCTAGTTCCCTTTCCATTTTATATTTTGGAGAGAAAATCCCTAGAAACCTGAGCCTCCATAGAACTAAAAATGCCAAAGATTTTCAAAAGGAATTCATATTATATATTTTGAGACAACTTACTAATATTTCGCACTTAAATAAGTGGAATTTTCTCTTTCAGAAGATAGCACCCATTTGCCTGAGCATCAGAACCCTAAATTCTATTTTTACCTAGAATATTAAATTCAACCTTGAAACTAAACATGGTTAAGTTTCTGTGCCTTGTAAACAATTTCCCATAAAAGTTTTTAGGACTGGGGATTTAACTCAGTGGTTCTGGTGCCTGCCTCGCAAGTGGTGAGGGCCGAAGTTCATAAACACTAACTAGAATTTTACCTTATGTATACATTCTCTTTGCTTAGAGAAATGATCAGTTCTTAAATTTGGTTCTTACCTTCTAATCAAATTGTAGCCTGTAACTGAAAACACAGTTTTTTAAAAATAAATTTTATTTTACCCCTTTCCCCCGTCAAGTCCCCTTCCCTGCCTATGTACAAAAGCTTTGTTTCCATTTTTTCCTTTTTTGGTACCGGGGATCAAACTTGGGTCCTTGAGCTTACAAGGCAGTGGAACCACTGAGCTAAATCCCCGGCCCCATTTTTTTCCTTCTATTGTCACTTTTTTCTTGTTGAAAACACTTTTAAGAAACGTGTCTTCCTATACAATATATTGTAATCAGATTTTCTCATTTTGTTAGCTGTAGGGAAAAATTGGAGAAAATTTGTGTCACCTTGATGTTTGCAACATGATTGTCTCAGGAAAAAGATCACTTTCTCTTTTTTTTTTTTGGTACTGGGGCTCGAACTTGGGACATAGGAGGCAGAACCACTGAGCTAAGTCTCAGGCCCAAAAAGATCACTTTTAATGGCAATACTTCCTCGGATAATTCAAGATCAGTTAGAGGGCCCATCTTACTAGTTTAGTGCTGCATTTATTATATGTGGCTTCTTGTTTAAAGGAGCTTATCAAACTTTAAGATTCTAAATTGAATCAAAGTCTTCAAGCTGCAACCTACCAAAGATAGCAACCTCCCATTAAGTTTTCAGTAATAATAGCAGAATTGTCATTGGGAATGATGATTAATACAGCTGTTCTATTCTTTCATTTCCTTTGGTCTTGGAGCCAGATACTGTTCAGTATACAGGAATCTGACCTCTACACTTTAGTACTTGCTTTATTTCATATCTTCGGATAGCTGCTTGAATCAGGCAAAAACATTGAAGAAAAAAGTTACTTCTTTTCCTAGATTTTGATCCGCTCTCTCTGGGGCAGTCCTGCAGATCGTAGGGCAGTACCCCTGAGCAAAGATTTACCCTAGGAGGCCCTAGACAGTGTCTTCTTTCCCCTTTTGGAAGATCTTTTTATATTTTAAAGTATATTAATTGTGAGGACAGAATCTGCAAGTTATTTTATTTACCAACGTAAACCCTTATTCTTCTAGCTTAAAAATCTGAGATCATGGGAAGGTAAACAGTATTTTGCAGAGATAGCTTCTTTATATATAAAAAAGTACTTATTGGTGAAGCATGTTTAAAAGTGTTACAACAAAACTGGTTGTTTTAATGGTTTTTTCTTTTATATTTGTTTACATTTTAAATTTAAAAAAACAGATGGAATTTATACTAGAATGTATACTTTTTTCTTTTAGAGACAGGCTGTCCTTGAACTTGTGGAGATTCTCCTGCCTCAGTCCCTACTCCCTCCCATTTAGTGCTGGGATTATAGGCAGGTGTCACCATGGCTATTTGGCTGGGGTGTC